TAAATGTTACATTTTCAAACAAAACTAAAAGTGTTAAGTTTCACAGATCAAAAATTCCTTTTGAAAGTGAATTTTTAAAACCACATAGGTTTTTCCCCTATTAAGAGTTTTCCCTATTACCTCAGAGAAATAGTCAAAAGATAAGATACCTGGTAGTAGAAAAGCAAAACTAACTAAATAAATAAATAAAATTTAATTTAAAAAGTAAATAAAATGCAGCTTCTGTATTTAATTTCTAAATCAAGAATGTGGTATTATTCATTACTTTTCATATCATCTTGAAAAGCAATTGCATATACTAACCCAAGTCATCTAGGACATCTTCATCCAACTTATCAGACTTGATCCCTCACCCACTGGCTTGCTCAGGCACGGGTCAGACCCTACCTGGTCTGCCATGACCAGCAGATGGCTGAAACTCAAATGGTTTTTTCAAAGCTCTTCTCTACTGACTGAGTAGGAAGGGGCAAACATCTCCATCCTGCCCACTGTGGGTTAGGAGAGTTAACAGCACCCAAGTAGCCCCCTCTCAAAATCTTCCTCTCCATCTTTAATTCTCATAAACCTTTTATCTTAGTGCCTCAGCCAAAATTTCAATCAAATTTTAATTATTTGTACATACTGCTGCAGCAGAGCATCTTACTAAAGACTTGACTAGTGGGTTATCTCCTGAGGACTTAAAGAAAACTTTTTCACTGCTGTACAAGAAATGTTTCCTGACTCTCCTTGGGATGTTTGCAGTAAATTATTAATGGTGGTTAAGTCTAGGAGGTGGGAATGGAGAGGATCAGAGAATTTTCACTTCTTTATTATAAAGTAATATATATATATTTTTGTGTTTATTTATTTGCCTCCAGAAGCACATCTTACTTCTACAACATAAAACATGTTGGAGATTTGAAAGACAGGTAAAACGTGGCTATAAAAAGCTTAAAAATGAAACAATTAGGAAAGGAGGAAGTAAAAATTGTCTTGTAAGTAAAGCATGGAATAGGGATAGAATAAATAGAAGGGATACCTTTTGCTAATAAAAAGCTGGAATTTTCATATTTTCAGAGTCATTTTGATGTGGCTTCACCAAAGCTACGTTATGAAATTTTTTCTCAGGCAAAATAACTGTATCAAAATGAATGTGAAAAGTCGTTACATCAGAGTGGTCTGCTCACCTCACTATGGGAGCATCTCCCACCAACAAAAGTAATCGGCAAAGCAGCTCACCCTCTGACAAGTTTCTCAGAGCCACCCTTGCTTACTTTTACCCTGTTTTTCTTGGTACACATGGATGCCTATTCAGCTCCCTGATGCAGATTTCACTTACCCCCCTGGGATCTGTTCTTGTGTGGGACCTAGCTTCTCTCTATCTGATAAAAGATTTAGCTTGACCCTGGAACAAAAAATCTAGAATGTCGCTTCTCTATGTAAGCGCCTCTTGCTGCTCATATTGATCATTCCAAACTGTCTCCCGAATCTTGAAATATAAGCCTCCTTACCTGCTCCTTTTACTGTCCAGACATAGCCCCAGACTCTATTTCTAAAACTGTTCTATCAGTCATTTTCTCAGGTTTTTTTTCTACCTAAGGAAGGGCACATAGATGCTGTGCATCTTCCAGTGTCTTCTTCATAATGCGAACAGGGACACTGAATGATGTGGTCACCAAGCATCGAAATGATATCGCCCATCATTGCTGTCTCCTGCGGGTTTCCTGCTGTTACACAGAAACTGTCATGGTGCTGGGCACCAGTGAAGACATTTCAGGTTAGACTTCAAATTCAAAGTGACTCCCATGGAAAGGAACTTTAAATATCCTGCCCGCCACCATGACTCAAATGCCTGTTTATCCTGATAGAGACCCATAACCTTCAGAGACAGTAAGGCATGGCACTCAAGTGAAAGACCAAGGGCTCTCCTACCTAAACCATTCCAGAATTACACATAAAAAGAACATCCAGATTTACACGGGATATTAGAATAAAACAGCACTTTTCTAGAAACAGTTGAGATCCAGAGCTTAAAGGATGTGCTTTCTTAAGTAAAGTAGGACAAGTGTATACAAAAAAGTAACTGATGGTGTTCCATAGCTTGGGGACTTGATTGAGAATGTCTGCATCCATGTTTCAATCTGAGAACTGCCCTTAGTTAACTATGTAAGTGTATACACCACCTCTGCGGTCTCAGCCAAAGCGCAGGGAACTAGAAAGAGCCCACCTCCTATTATATTTCATTGAGAATTAATATTCTTTTTTTTTAAGGTTTTATTTATTTATTTGTCAGAGAGAGAGAGCACAAGCGGGGGGGAGCAGCAGGGAGAGGGATAAGGATCATGACCTGAGCCAGAGGCAGGTGCTTAACCAACTGTGCCACCCAGGTGTCCCAAGAATGAATCTTCTTTTAGAGAAAACAATCAAGTGGTCAGGAGAACAAGCTGCATTTTGTCATAGCAGTCACAAGTTGCTTTTTTACACTGAGAACCGAGAAGTTGGATTTGGTGCGTGTCCAGTTAAATTAGATTAGAATTGTCATCTCATCCACACTTATTTCGACGTAATTGCTACTGAAGCCAGTTAGAACAAATACAAGTAGGCACGCCACCCATCAGACTTCTCATTGAGTGCCCAAAGTATCTTGGGCACTCTGGTAGAATTGAAAAATAAAAAAAGTTTAGGGGCGCCTGGGTGGCTCAGTTGGTTAAGCGACTGCCTTCGGCTCAGGTCATGATCCTGGAGTCCCGGGATCGAGTCCCGCATCGGGCTGCCTGCTCGGCAGGGAGTCTGCTTCTCCCTCTCCCACTCCCCCTGCTTGTGTTCCCTCTCTCGCTGTGTCTTTCTCTGTCAAATAAATAAATAAAATCTTTAAAAAAAAAAAAAAAGTTTAAAAAATTCATCTTCATCCCAGCGTAGGAGTGAAGGGTGGCTAATAAAATGAAAGATCTTTATTTATGGAGCTGAGTTCATAGAACCCATCCAGTAGAATCCTGAATGTGCTCCTTATTTTCTCAGACATGTAAGGTATACCCAAATGTTTAACCTGGCATCTTCAGAAATCCTGCTGCTTCCATATTCTGGAAAATATAGGAGCCAAGACTTTTCTTCACCTCCATCCCTGGCAACTCCATTAGCTTGCCATGCCAGAGGAACACAGATGCTGTTGACTGTCCTACTAGCATGATAGTTTATCTTAAGTCTATCAGACTTTTTCACGTAATAAAAATACCCAAGAATTTAGGAGCATCTGTTTTGGTATCAACTCTTAGATCCCTACTGAATCACACCAAATAGATATCCATATTGAACTCACATAACTGCCATAATCTCCAGTGATATTTGGCCAGTCAAGGTTTAATTTCCTACCGTTACAGCCTACTCTGTTTATTTGAAAATAGTCGGATTCACAGGGGGGGACACACACAGACTCCAGGGACATGTACTTGTTTGGTGTGAGTCAGGGTGTTTGATTTCCTCTCTGAAAGATCCAAAAGCTGAATAAGGAAATAAACATAGGCTAGCGGAGACCCACTGGGGACTTTTTTCTGTTTGGTCAGTCACTTCTCTTGTTGGCACATGGCACTACATGTGCGACTTTTACTGCCTCCCCCCCCCCCCCCCCCCCCCCCGCCTCTGGATATCCTCATTACATGAGAAAATGTAATAAAACCTTTGTTTTCCTGAGAGTAGTCCTATCCTTCACTTTCAACAGCACCTGAGGGCTCTTCACACATTCTAAAGGAAAACTTACAGCCAGGCAGATCTCTCCACTCCTACCTCCCTGCAACATACAGCGGCCACATAAGAGAACTATTTCCTGGTATGAATTACGTCCAACAATTCCTTTACAACAGCATGCCTAATGAGGCAAAACAGTCAACATGGAGAAGAAAACTCCATGCCACAAGGAGCCAGAAACATGGTTCTACGTGAATAACTTCCTTCTCAATCACGAAGCAAACAAAACAGAAACATTATAGAAAATTCGTAAGAATGAAAAATTGTAATATTATAATTTAACAGGAAGTGTTAACCAAAAGGAGGAGCTAAAAAGAATGTTCCGCATTCAAATTTTTTTTTTTTTTTTTTTTTTTTTTGGTTAGCAAGAATTGAAAATAGTCTATATAATGACTGGATGTATGCCTTTTAAAAAGACCCTCTTTGAAATGATTATCAGTCTATTCTTTCCTGATTTGAACTATAGGATAAAACCGATAGAGATTGAAGTTGAAATAGCATGTATGGTTTACCTAGTTTAAACATCTATAAAATACTACATAAAGAAAATGGGGAAGAAATAAGAAAAAAGTAGCAACACTAAAAAAATACTAATAAAAATGAGTCCAAATATTTTACTCTAGTTGACTAAGCTTTTGGCTTTGGAGTTTCAGGCTTTTTTAGGCTAATCTTCACTAGCAGTTTAAAACATCTGTGTATCACCATTTTCCCAACTCATAGGGAATCATAAACAAATTGACTTAAACAGTATGTTAGGGTGCGCCACCATAACAAATACCACAGACTGGGTGACTTAACAGAAATTTATTTTCTCACGTTTTGAAGGCTGGGAAGTCCAAAATCAAGGTGTGGGCCGATTGGGGTCCCGGTTAGAGATCTCTTCCCGGCTGCAGATGCTGTCTTCTTGCTGTCCTCACATGGCAGAGAGAGGGGAAAGCAAGGTCTCTCGTGGCTCTTCCTATGAGGGTACCAATCCCATCACGAGGGCCTCACCCTCATGACTTCATCTAAATCTAATCACTCCCCAAATGCCCTATATTCAAATACCCTCCCATCAGGGGCTGTAACTTTAACCTACGCATTGGTGTGGGAGGGAGACACAATTCAATCTGTGGCAAGCAGCAATAGTTCAGCTCTCCCCACCGCGGCGTGCACTCACGCACACGCGCACGCACGCACGCATTCTCGCGCACGCCCGCACGCATTCTCGCGCACGCACGCATTCCCGCGCACGCACGCACGCATTCTCGCGCACGCACGCACTCACAAGGCGCGGCCCCGGGAAAGGGCACTAGAGTTTATGTGTCCTACCGTCAGCAGCTGGGAAGCTGTGTAGGCCCCTCTCTTCCTTCTCCAGGCCTTACAGGGGTCCTAGCCTGCTGCAAGGGGTAAGTTAAAGGGGTTTATGGAAGATCTTGCGGCACACTGGGCAACACTCCATCTGGTCAGCCATCAAAAGAGTTCTAAAGATCATTGAGTAAAAAATATATTCACTGGACATAGATTGGAAAAACAGCCAGTCTGCTTAGTCCCTGGGCCCAAGACATGGACAGTATTTGGAGGCAAGAGTACAACATAAGGAAATCATCAGAAGCACAGGCAAAGAATTATGTACCAGGATGTTCATAGAAGCATTATTTAAAGTTGCAGAACAACCAAAAAAAAAAACCTGGACTCAAACCAAATAGCCCAAAATATGGGATAGTTAAATAAGATGGACTATTAAACAGACATTAAATATTATGTTTTCAAAATATATTTAATTAAATGGAAAAATACCAGATACTGTAAAGTTAAAAAACATGCACAGCCGTATATATAGTATGTTTTAAATCAGTGTCAAAAGTGCTACGTTCAAAATGAGCCGAGACTTGTGAAAAATACTTAGGACAATATAAAATACTCTTCCATCATATTTTAGGCAATGAGAAAAGACAAGGCAGGAAAAGAACCGTACTGCTTGGGGAAGAGAGCAATTTGCTAACAAACATTAGAATTTCTTTTTCTCCAGCCAGGAAAATGATCTTCAAATTCTACAAATAGAATATGCAAAGAAAACGTAAATTTCAACACCAAATGGTGAAGAAAGCTAGTAGTCCATAGTTTAGATAAAGATAAAAATCCTGTGTTTGTGTACCATCACATCTATGACACTGGGCACATTGGCACATAATACCATCTCAGTTAAACTTGTGACAAACAACTAAGTATAAGAATGAATACACGCTGAGAAGTATCCAAAATGGTGGTTATCAGTAGCTTAGAAGTGGGAGATATGCAAAGATAATTGATTAAAGGGTATAAACTTCCAGTTACAGGATTAGCAAGTTCAGGGGCACCTGCGTGGCTCAGTGGGTTAAGCATTTGCCTTTGGCTCAGGTCATGATCCCGGGGTCCCGGCATTGGGCTCCCTGCTCAGTGGGGAGCCTGCCAGGGAGCCTGCTTCTCCCTCTCTCCTCGCTCTTGCTCCCTCTCGCTATCTCTGTCTCTCTCAAATAAAAAAATAAAATTTTGAAAAAAACTAAGATTAACAAGTTCTGGGGCTCTAATGTATAACATGGTGATTACAGCTAATAATACTTTGTATTATATATGTTTATTTATATTTATATTATTATAGCTAATAATACACTTTAAAGTTGGTAAAAGAGTAACTCTTAAATGTTCTCACTACAAAAAAGAAATGGTAATTATGTGACAGGACAGAGGAGTTAGCCATAGGATTATGACTTAGTCATAATCATTTTGTAATACACAAGTTTATTAAATCAACACCCTGTATACATTAAACTTACACAATGTTATATGTCAATTCTCTCTCAATAAAGTGGGGTAAAATTTTTTAAATATATATTTTTTAAAGTATCAAGGACTTCAAAAAAATTCAGTGATATATCGAGTTGCTCAAAAAATGTCCAGGTATGTCCTCAGTATTTGTAGATAAATTTCAAAACATCAACGAATCTCTTGAACGGTTTCAGAAGAGTGTGTAGAGATTTTCCAATAATTTATCCTGGAAATGAAAATTGATGTATTCGATACATTCAATCCTAAAGACCAAGGAGATGTTAGAGCAGATTGCCATACAGGTGATTGATCAGAAGGGATTGTCGTGCTTAATGTCAAAACAATTATATATCCTTTTATCCATATGTGACCCAACAGAACTCAGCCTCTGCTGGTAATTGTCTTTCATTATTTGGTTAAAAAAATTTTTTTTAACAAAAGTAGGGAACCACTGGAGATTTTTGAACGGGAAACACCTCTCATTGATAAAGATCAGTCAGTTCTGTACCTAATACACTGGAAATTGAAGAGACTGGAGGCCTAAAGATCAAGCATATGACAAACTAGAATATTCTAGGTAAAAGCAGTAATAGGGTAAGAAATACAAGGTAAAAGTCAAAAGGGTGTTAATAGTAGAGACATAAAGAGAAAAGCAGCAGTACAACTGACCTAGCTGGAAGATGGAAACAGAAAAAATCAGAGACTATGCCAAGATTTCAAAATTGGATGGCTAAGTGAATAGTTGTGCCATGACTAGAAAGAAGAAAGTCGTGTTTCCTAACTTAGAGTGAGGTGATGCTTAATTCGATTATTACTCATTATACGTTGGAACTCTCAAATAGCGCATTGAGATTATGGACCCGGCCCTCTGGAGAAAAGTACATGCAGTCCTGCGCCTACACCGTGACCGAACCCGGGAGGTGGGGGTGTGGGGGTGGGGGGGCGCCGAGGTTGTGCACATAGCCTGCTGGGCCAGGTGGAGCACGCCATCTGCTGTAACTGATATTCGCAAAAATGAGTCCCCGTGTTCTACGAAAAAGAAGTTCATTGAGTTTTGAGTGTAGTCCACGTCCACTAACTGCTTCCTCTTATTCCATTCTTTACTGTGTGCTGAAGACCCATCAACGAATAAAGCAGTCTCTTGAGATTGCCACGAAGCACAAAATTTTAGAGATTTTTTTCAGTATTCTCTATATAAGAATAACAGTGTGTTGTAGAAATATTTCTATCAGAAATAGTAAAAAAAAAAATAGGCTTGTCATTTAAATGCATATTCTTCGGATATCTGGGAAGTGTACTGGCATGGAACAAACTTTTCTTGAGCAATGCTGGGAAAATGAGGTGTTGCTGTATCGGGTTAGCGATATTAAATCAGAGATTATATGTAGACAGTGAAGGGATTGAGAAGTAATTTTGGTTTCCTTTTCAGAACGGGGGGATCAGAGAGATTTTTTTTAATAATAATCATCAAGTACGGTAATGGCAAACACTCTGAAAATATTAAGTGTTGCAAGCAATTTATTATGTCTATTACATTCTCAGAAAGACAATCAGTCGATATTGCAATCTTAAATATAAACTTGCAGAGTGCTAAATCCTCTTCCAAACTAAACTTCAAAACCCTCAACGATGATTGTCTATAATAAACAAGGCAGAGTAGTTTACTTATGGCCCAAAGTTAGACTTTGAAGTTCACTTTTAAAGAACGTATTTGTTAGTAGTTCTCCAAAAGAATGTTAATTATGAGAATGAAAGGATAGATTAAGTCCTGTAAAATTTTATTTTCAAAGAAATGCTTCAATGCCTCCTTTGATATATGACTCATATCACCACTTTAAAAGACATAGCAACAGTAAAAACTTCTTTAAAATTAGCAAATCAAAAATTCTAAAATCTCATAATCTATGTTCACCTCAATATCATAATACCATAATGATTGCAAGGATGACATTATTGTATGTACCACAAAGAAAGGAATAAAAACAAAGCTACACAAGTTATAACACGTGTTTTTTGTAGCTCAGAACTTTCACTACATACTTACTGAAAGAGCTTTATAATACCTACTGAGGTATAGGTTTTTATCTTATGCCCTGCTTGAATCTATATAAAAATGAAACTATAAGAGGGGCGCCTGGGTGGCTCAGTCAGTTAAGCATCCGGAGGACTCTTGGTTTGGGCTCAGGTCATGGTCTGGGGCTCATGGGATCCAGCCCCAGATTGAGCTCCAGGCTCGGGCAGGAGTCTGCTTGTCCCTCTCCCTACCCTTGCCCCTCCCCCTGCTCCCTGTTCACGTGCATGTGTGCTCGAGCTCTCTCAAATAAATAAATAAAATCTTAGAAAAACTATAAAGTATAAGCAAAACAAATCGGTTAGGGTATTCCTAAAGCTTACTCCCATCCCAAATCCAGTATTTCCAAACATGTTCAACTCAGAGTCATGGATGACCATGTTTCCCACACAATACTATCATCTATGCTATCAAGAGTGCTGGTCATACAGTATCGTCTCTGCAATTTTATTCCAAGTTGCTGATATTCATACTGTAAGTTTTTATGCACGTGGACTAGCAATGACAAGGACATCAGAACCACAAGACACAACCTGTTTCCAGAAATGTGAAAATGTAAAAAGAAATGTAAATGTTAGAATCTTTGAAATATGATGTATCTTAAGAGCTAAGATATAGTAAAGAAATTTGATTTACAGCTCTAATTTCTGACCCCCTCCCCTCATGGAAGTAAAGTTGACACACGGTTCCATTAGTTTCAGGTGTACGACCCAGTGATTCAGTGACTCTACACCTGGTGCTGTGCTCACCATTCAGCTCTAATTTCTTACAGGCTCTTGGACTTTCTTCGCTGTTCACCAGAAACTGTAAATCTGACATTTGCAAAGTGTTAACCTACTCTAAAGGGTGAATTTGGAACTTTAAAAAGGAAAGCAGTGGCCTTTCTACTGCTTCAATGATGTCAACACCAACAAAGGAAGCAGCCCCGGCATCCTCACCAGCTAAGGCAAAACCATCTATTTGGACTTACGTCTTCGGACCTGTTAAATTTATGTAGAACTGAACTCATCCTATCCCCACATTCCCAAGATTTTTAAAACAAACAAACAAGCAAAGTCCTTGCTTCTCGGAGGTTATAAGTAAATCTAAGGGAAATGGTGTTTTCTGTTGGGGTTGTTTGTTTGTTTGTTTGTTTTGAGAAAATATTGTCATCTTATTTCAAGTTATAGACTGACTTCTAGAAATGAGATTCAAATTTTTTGAGGCTATAAACACCGAGCCAAGCAATACTCTTGAAGTAAACATCCTAGAAGTCAGACTAGTATGATACATATGATTAAGGCATTGCTGTGCTCACTTTTGCAAGTTTATACTTAAACCAGAGAAAATCAGCTACAAGATGAATCTAAACAAATAGTATGCCGGAATATATTATGTACTCTGAAATTTTAGTTTTTTAGCGTTCATAGCGGTAATAACTCAGATCAGCTTTGATATTTTTTTTTTCAAACTTACCAAATATCCCAGAAAGTAAAAACACAGAAATAGCAAAATATTTTTTAGAATTTAAATGTAAAATGTTTTTACATG